TGTCTATTGTCAAGCATGGTAATTACATGGTTTTTTTAAGAGTTGAGATGGTAGATTGTTGTATGTGTATACAATAGAGCTTTTAAGATGCATAAGAGATGTTCAAAAATCCATGGAACTTTAGTATGCCTGAATTTGGTGTTGTAGTTGCTTTAGCTATTGTCACAACTTAGAAGCCTTCTTCACTTGTTTCACCTTCTTAAGCATATTGTCAGCTGTCATATTACTATAGATGATTACCTTTTTGCTCCATTGATCACACATCACATTTTTTATACCTACAAAAAATCAAAAATATTGAAGAATTAAAATTGATATTTTTTATAAATGCCTTATATAGCAATATGAAATTGATCAAGTTAGATCAAGTAAAATAAAGAGAAGTAAAATTACTTATGTATATTTACCATCTATTTCTATTTTGACTAATGAAACTTATGTAAAGATTGTAATTGAATACTCATATATGCATTGAGCCTTATGTAAGTTTGCTTTATTGTCTAGTCTTTAGTCAAGTCTTTATTGCACTTCTTATCAATTTTAGGTTACTTGCTATCCAAGTCCTTACTCTTTGAAAAGAATCAATCATTGAGATTATATACAAGATCTTGTATGTGATCTGTGACTCTACATAATAAAACATCCCTAAAAATTCATATAAATATTGTAGTTGTGCCAATAACTACCATTTTCTTGTATCTTGAATTGAAAGGGAGGATGGTATTTGTGTGCTACAAGAACGCCATCAATTTTGAGAGTTGTTCACATCTATGTTAGAAGGTGCGTACATGGACTAGGTTTAAAGTAGCAGTGATAGTATTTAAGAATCCAATAGTTATAAGTTTGTATTCAACTTTCAAAAAGAAGAATGGAGGCAATAAAAGCTCAATACATGCTTGTAATTTTTAACATTGGACCTCACATCAAGAACGATGCTTTTCAAACAACTTCATATAGCATGAGGATGAAGAAACTATTGAAAAAGGTGAATGAACTTTCTATCTTGTGTAAGATAGAAATGGCAATCATATACGACCACTCATAAATGGCTAGGTTGCTGCCACTATTTTAAGGTCAATTCAATTTGAATTTTGTATTGAATCACTATAAGAATGTAGTGTCAAAGAAATGAAAGAAGAGAAAGTTGGACAACACAATGTTCTTGCACAACTATATACAAAAGCTTGTTGTTGATTTAGACCACTTAGTAGGTTGTAACTACAAGCTAACAAACTACTTGGAAAATTTCTTTTGGAACAATTAACTAAATTCTTATAGCACAACTGATTTTCAATAAGTTATAGGAAAAGTGCTTTTAAAGAAGAAGGAAGTGACCAATTGGCTAGAATCAGCAATATCTGCAGATGGTGATAGAGACTGCATTCAATTCATTGATCTAGCCTAACAAATTGCTACCAAATCTTTAAGCTTTGTGTTGCAACTAGATGAGGGTTGGAAACATAAAGAATATGGAGGATATATATATATATATATATATATATAGATTAAAATAAGTCACCTATTTATTAAATAAATCTATCTTATTGTGAGGAATGAAGAAGAACAAGAACAGTTACAATAAGAGCTAGGAACAAGGGGAGGAGAGCGATGGAGGTTGGAAGGAAGAACTCTAAAAATAAAGAGAGTGGGAGTTGAGAATGAAGGAAGTTGGAATGAAGGCAATGATTGTAATGATAGGTTTTGGAGATGATCCATTTTTCTAATGATTGTTATAATTGGGTGCATCTATTTATTAAATAGGTAGATTATTTTAATATTTTTGTATATATATATATATATATATATATGTATGTATTTTAGAAAATAATAAAGTGACCTAAATTTCTATTAAAATAATCTATCTTCGATGAAGAATTGTTGTACTTTAATCCTCATTTTTACGTTCTTGGCCTTTGTTCTCATTCTCAACAATAAGGCCTTTGTTTTGATCGGTTATAAAAGTATAGGATCAAACACCTTAAGAGTTACTTTTGTAATATGATTACTTACTGTGACACTTTACGCAACAATTTGCCTTCTTCAACTCAAGTCGTCTAGTTGCTCCTCTCCACAACCCTTTACAATGTCAAGATCTATATTATTAAAAAAACCATCATGGATTTGGATTATGTACTTGAAGCCAAGTAGCCATTGGTAGTTGTGAATATTGAAGTGTCACGCCCAATGTCATTATTACTCAAAACTTTTGTAATGCCAAAATTGATTATCCTTGCTTCCATAAAGGTATTGAATATGATGTTACTTGGCTTCAAAACTCCATGAACAATGGAAGTTTGATAATCATGGTGAAGGTATTTCAACCCTTCAGCAATGCTTATAGTTGTATTGATTTGATGACTCTAGCTAAATTCTTTTACTATTTTGGCACTTCTTGATAGATACATTAAGTTGCTCAACATTACATTAGGCATATATTCCATTACTAGTGCCTTCATGTTAAGATTGTTGCAGTAATCCATCACTTTGATGAGAGTCCAATGTTGAATATTGCCTAGAATTTTGAATCTATCCACTAAGATTGTTTAAGCATTCTCAATCATATCACTTTTCCAAATTGTTAATCTGTTCACCACCACTATGGTGCCATCCAAAAATTGTTCTCTATATACTATGTTCATGCTACCAATATCAATGTAATTTTGCTTGTTGGAATTTTTTGTAATTTGTGTGACATCCTTAAAAGAGAGATTTAATTCAATCTTTATAGAAGCATTTGCTAAATTTTTGTTATTCTTTGTGTTTCATAAGCATCTAGAGCAATCTAGATCAGCCATATTCAATGACCGAGTTAAAGGTGAGGAGGATACACAACATATGGGGAGGTGGTAGGATAGAGCAGGGCATGAGGCGAGGGATGTGGGAGAGAGAATGTATGAAAGAAATGATGGAAAAGATGATGTAGAAGGATTGGCGATGGAGAGGGTGTCATAGTGCATGCAAAAGCTAATAACATTGGAACAAACATTGAATTATGGTGTTAAAATGAGGAAAATAAGACAAGCATAGTTGCAGGAGTTTTTCCTTACTAATGCTAGAGAGCCATTGTAAGTTGAGGATCTTGCAAGAATATTGGATCATAGTTGGAAGATAAGGGGTTGAAAACATGGACAGAGGTTGAGTACAAGGAAAATAGAGATGAAGATGCAATGATTCTTCATCCAAAGTAGGTCAATTTAGTAAAAATTTGAGTTGCTTTATTATTTCCATATATATATATATATATATATATATATAAGAGGTTAATAGTTCAAATGCCATTTATAAAATCACAATTATACTTGATAAAACTATATACAAAAATTATATATACTATACCAAAAAGAAAAGAAAAAACAAACAAACAAACAACAATTCTTATTAAGAATCTTTTCTAGCTTTAAATTCAAATTCAATGGAAAAGATTTGACCTTTCACTATAAATACTTTATACCTAGATGCTTTAAATGCTCACAAAAAATGCCATCAAAACAAACTAATCTACTCTTACTGAATACATTAGACTATGCTGGATTAAGTCCCTCCTCCCTCAAAAAAGAATCTCAAAGATCTCACCAAAACACCATAATCTTCACCCAAACTCAACCGTGGGCCCTAAAACCATGGTAAAATCCAACCCTAAATTTTCTCACACTTGGAAGCAAGAAAATTTGAAGGCGCCGAAGTTCCGATGCACAATCACGACGCTCAGAAGACAAGAGCATAGAGCCAATCAAACAGCTCATGAAGCCATGAAATTGTGCATCGAGTCAGGGTGGGAAAGAAAGCAAGCAAGCCAGTCAGAAAGCCAGCTCCAAGCCAGCTTTACCAAGTCAATACCCTGCACCGCATCATTCCACAGTTCGTTACCCTTTCTGACCAACTCCGAGAACCACCGGCAAATTTTTGCTTTGTTGACTGATTCGATGCGGTCTCAATTGAGCGCCCCTTAACATCCATGGAGCCTGTGGATCTAATTTTTTTGTTAATTCTTGTAAAATTTTAATTATTGATTTACAGTTTTTCCCCTTATTCTGAAGGATATTGAAGGGTTTTTGAGGAAATTGAGCAACAATCGGGGACGTTGTGTTCGCATTCGTGGCTCGTGCACTAGGACGGGACGGAATGAATGCGTGAGTTCAGAAGATCGTCGACGCGTGAGTTGTAAAGATCGGCGGGAACAGCGACACGGGTTGTAATTGTGGTGCGGGAGTGGTGTACATCTGGCGCTGCGCAGGTGGCAATGTCTTCGAACTTCAGAATATTTTTTATTTTTATTTTGTGAAAGGGTGAGATTCGGAGGAAGAAGCTTAGCTGGAGGAGACAAAATCGGATCAGAGAGGGAGGTCGTAGGACCCTGAGCTACGGGGAGGAATTCCACTTGGAAGCAAGCGGTGGCTTCTCTCCTCACCCCAAAATACATCCCCCCTCTAGCTCCGCTACTCGCGTCGCCATTTCAGTTCTCCATTGCAATTGCACCAGATGGCTTCACCGCACTTTGCCACCTCTTGGTCAGTCTTGCAAATTTAGCAAGAGCTCAAGGAATCGCATCGTAATCGAGGCTGAGATATCAAAGGCGCAAATCTATTCTCGGCCAACAATGACCGGAAGATATTAGTAGTTCCAATCGTAACTTTCAAGCCCATTGCGTCGTAGAATTCGCTCTGGGTACACTCAAGTTTTGCTGTATTTTAATACATGGATGCAGGATTATTCCCCCTCTAATCAAGGATTGCCCAGCAAATGCCGCTTTTGGACAGGGTTAGTGAGAAATTTTGCACTAAGGTGGTGAAAGTGAATGGTGAAGTAAATATTGCGAGCTACTGTGCAGACGGCGTTAACTGGCGAAGCCGGTAGGCTCCACTGTCAGACCACAATCAGAAGAAAGCATTCCTTCGGCTTGCTCCTTTACGCTCTTCTTCTTCTGTTGTAGCACTTGGGTGGTGTTGTTCTTCATCGAAATTCTGAGAGTTCGGCTGCAGCTAAGAGTTCATCTGGTATGTGGGCTGCTCGTTGGGTTTCTCGTTTGTGTCTATGTCGGTGTTGTTTTGGAGGAACTCTATTCGTCAATCGTGTCTTTGCTCTTGGCGAATATGAAGTCACTATAGAATCAGTGGTAGAGGTGGGAGGTTTCTGCCGTGCCCATTTGCGGAATTGTGCGGTTAGTTTCAGTGGAGTGGGATCTCATAAAGGTTTTGAAGATTTTGTCTTTATTTGAGGTCGGTCCATGCTGTTGCGGAAAGTTGCATCGTCGAATATGCATTCACAAGATGGTGACCAGAGTGCAATCGATATTTTGAGGATATAGTTTCATAGCCACGAAATTGACTCGATTCGTTTTGCGCGCTCTGTTGTAGAGCTGATCCGATCGGATAGTTTTTAAGTTCCTTGAACTCTACTCTTCGGCTGTTAGAGAGTAGTGACGGTGGTACAGATATGGAACTAGGCTTTGATAGGCACTCGTCAATCTGAAGCTTTGAGTTCTCTCTTGGGGGTATTCTGGTGAACTGGGAAAATACGATCTATATTGCGAAGTATTACAAATTATTTGTCGATGCTTAGCTACTCAAATGTATGGGGAATAATTTTTTTTTTTCTCAGCACCACAAGGTACTTTTATTGCTACCAGCAAAAGCTTGTAAAGATGTCATACGTGATCTGATACCGCAGTATTTGTAAGATCTTTGTGAACTGTCGTAACGAAGTAGATGTGGTCAGGTGTGTAGCATCATGGGTTGCATACTGTCTTCCGAATCTGCGCCAGAGGACGGAGGGTCGCCTCCAGGGCTCAATGCGGATGGTGAGATTTACGTATATGTTCCAGGCCTCCGAACACCAAAGTATGTGGATCTGAAAGAGCACTTACAGGATGCCATTTCTGCGGACCTGGCATCTCGATTGCAGTATTTGCGATCCAATGTTTTAATTACGTCTGGGAAGAACACGCCGGCCTCCAAATCAAGGAGGAGAAAAACTAGTCAAGGTATATCTCAAGTTATAACTTGAGTCAAACAAACACACACAGACATACACACACACACAGTACCTCTTTTCAATTTCAAAGGTTGGTCTGTGAAATAATCGCCGTCAGCAGTGCATGTCCTCTATGTCGTCGTAGTTTAGTATGGCGATGAAACTTAGAACCCCTCTATAAAGCTACCAGACAGTCTAGGTGTTATTGATTAATGTAACTGACGAGTTCGATATCTTAGTGCTCGAACCTCGTGTACCAGCTGCACCAACATACTTGTATTGGCCCACATAATCACATTCATATGTCCTAGAGGTCTTTTCAAGTGTTAGCTTTCGTAATTTCCCCCCTTTTGCTTGTGCTGCTCGAGTAAATGTCTCATTGTGGTTGGTATGCAGATTCTCCTACTGCAGCTGATTTAGAGAAGGCATTAGTAAATTATCTTCCAGCTTTACTTGGCTTCGTTGCAGGAGGTTGTTGCACTATTCTTTTCTTTATTGAGGCTTGTTTTTAGGTATACAGATTCAATTCAACTGATCTTCCTGAGGGAGTTGTCCTTTTGGAATGAATACTAGTAGTTTACATGACCGATTTTGGTGAAATATGTGTTTCGATCATGGCCTAACTTTAATGTATTGTGATCGAAACACACACACCAAAAAACAATAAGGCTTAACTTCTACCTTATCTTTTGCTTGATGCCGCAGGTGAAAAGTGGACTTCAGGGCTTGTTTTCGAATGGACCAACGTGGAAGATGAAAAAAAGGTTGGTATTTATCACATTAGTCCTGGTTTTTACAGGACATGAAGTCTTTCATGAATCTTCTACTTCTCTTTTGATGTATGTTTTGATCACGTGGAGAACTTGACACGACAGATATAATTGAAACCTGACGGATTGGAGATTTTGTAATTACAGGAAACGGCTCTTGGAAGTGTTTATTATGAGTTGCTGTCAGTACTTCATCTGCTGGGGATGCTGGCTCTTCAAGAAGCGAATGTTCGCCTAACATCGAGACCGCCTGCGGAGGGCTATGCCCCCAAAGTCACTGAAGGCATGTGCTCTGCTTTGCACCCTATCTTTGATTCTGGCCGATAATTATCTGCGGGTTTTCTTTTGTGCGTTGTATCCGATGGCAACTTGTGTTAGCTTTGCTAGAGGTTGCGCACTAATTGCAGCAATACCATTTCTTTAGAGGCTTCGCTGCCTGAATGACTTGCATCACTCTTTGATAGGAAGGGCAGATCTGTTGACAACACTAACTTGATATATACCATGGCAATGTATGCCAATGGATAATTGATGAGTAAATGACATTTCACTAGACTATAATTAGGTCTAAGTTCGTACTTATACAGAAGTGTGTATGTTGTATCATTTGCCTTCACACGTAGAAGGGATAATCTGCGCTTCGTCAATGGAAGATTGTTTCAACAAAACTCAAAGTTGAGTTATCAAGATCTGAGGCTTGTGTAGCTATCCAGGGCTGTGCCAAGTGGTTCAATATCTAACATTAACAGTTGTGCCATCAGAGAGCAAGAGGAACGCTATTGAGATCCTGCTAAAAGCTGCCTCATATTTTGACTGTGCATTGCGTGCTGTGTTGCCTAACACACCAGAAGATATCAAGTAACAAATTGTTCTACACTATCATTTTGCATTGCATCGTGCTCTGGATGTAGTCACGTTGCTCAGTTATGCTATATACTAGGGTGTTGTAGCTGGAAAGAGGCACTTCTCGATATTTGAGGAAGTATCAAAATGTTTGATAACGTGGATCTTCGTAGTAGAGCATTGCCTTAAGTCATACATTAGCTTTTACAAATTTAAACTAGGCTGACCTATTTCTATTTAGCCTGTCACGAGTTTAGGATTTGCTAGTAAAAAAACGATTGCTTTTTGACGTTGCTTGAATATTTCTTCTGACGCAGGGCCAAGTTACCAGCTGATTTGTCAGAACCAATGCTTATAGCGCTGGAACACCAAGCTCTGGGCCATGTAAGCAGTTCTTGGATAAGTTGAGGCCGAGTGTAGTGTCATGTCATCTATTTTGAAGTTTAAACACGATGTCAAGTATGACTTAAAGCTTGTACTTAAACTATACCAGTAGGTGTGACGATCACGAAATATCAATGTGCAGGGTGTGGAGTTGCAGCTGAGTTTTGCAGTTGATAATATAAAAGCATCTCTGGCAGTGAAACGAAGATTAGCTTGTGAGCACGTGCAGGTTTGGAAGGAGGTTCGTATCCTAAAACCAGACTTTATTTTTCTTTACATAGGGTTGAATTCATTTAATGCATGTGTTTTCTGGGACGTGCATAGACTGTCGTTTTTGTGTGCAATAGTGGGTTTCCATGGACACTTATCCTCTTACTCACTCTGCTTCATGGAAGTGAACACTCGAGAATGACTTTTCTATGAATAGAACATAATGGATTGCTTTATGATATTGTCTCCAGGCAAATGAGAGGATCGAACACGTACCATTGATGGATGGGTGGAGGAAAAAACTTTTCTTGTTCTTGAAGTGGAAGCTGACTGAAGCCAAGGTAGATTGAGTTTCTCAACAAAAACTTTTTTATTCTAATGACAGTGGAATTAAGTTAGTAGCATTTATGAGTTATTCTGTTCAAATCTTCTCATAGCCTTGGATTGGTTCAATCCATCCGCGACTGTGGTTGTGTATTCCAGGCTGGTGCTTATTATTTCCATGGACTTATTTTGAACGAAGGTTATGAGGAAAATACACATGCACAAGCTTTAATGTGGCTAAAAGCAGCACACAAATACTTGAAAGACAGTCAGAGAATAAGACTCGAATTCAGCACTGCAGAGCCCACAACCAAGTATGTAGTTTTCTTTTGAAGTTCAACATTCTTTCATTGAGGTTGGAAAACTTGATCAATTTGTGCGAAATTGTCTCTAGGAAGGAATTATCATCAGAATTAACATACAGCCAACCTAATCAGGCATTTGTTGAATGCAGAGTACCTGAGGTTTGGGGACCCATAAAGTATTTTTTGGAGAGAATACCTAGAGAAGCAGTGAACAAATCCCGAGTCTTCAGAGAAAATTACCGAGAAGAAAAGTGCGTAAAACAAATTTAATTAATTCTTTCCTGCACATTTGAGACAATGAAATCTATCATTTTTTGAATTTTAAGATCTTTCTTTCCTTTGATGTTTAACACGGATATATGCCTAAGCGCAATGGGCTCTTCTGACTTCATTTTTTGTTCATAACTGGCTGCAGATTACCTATCGTTGTACCCAAGTTGCCAGAGTTCCCGCTGGCATTAATAGCTGAGCCCTACCATCTACCTCCAGTTGACCCAGCATGGGAAAAAGAATCTGGATATGAAGGAATTCCCACGCTCACCCCAGACATTGCCAGTTTTCTTGCAAAGAAGGATCCCAACCCCAAACCCGCAGCAATGTCCGACTTGAGAAGAGCCTGGCCCATGTCACCGCCATTGTTAGTCACCCCTGAGATGGTGCGAGCTAGATAACCCAAGTGTACATTACATTCAGGCCTTTAGTTTCATGCATTAGTCTCTCCTTACGCCAATGGTGCAAGTCTTTTCAGTTCGGCTCTAATTTTTTCAGTCGGTGATCTTTGCACCTTTGTTTCTGTGGAAACAAAATCAATGAACTCTTAGTTTCAATGGACAGGGCCGTTCTGTAGGTGACGTTAAAAAACAGCAGCTAGATAAAGTAGGGAGTTAGAATGGGTAGTAATCCCAGTTTCGTGGTAGTATTTTAGGCACATAGAAGTGAGACAAAAGGACTCTTTTATGAAGGTAGCATTGAATGCTCATCCACCTCTTGTAATCAGTTGCTGCAAGAATCAGAGGTGGGATTCAAGTAGCGTTTAACATGTAAATATTACAGAACGTTTCTAGTTATCCAACTCATTTCTTTACTTCCATGCTTGTGGATAATGTTGTGAATGTTTTACGAATCACATTTCCTTTTTTTTTTAGCCCAACTTAGTATTATAACCTCGCTCAACTACAACACATTAGTCAGTGAAGCTGCCCAACATGTTTTCACTGCTAAATTGCTTGCACTGCTGAGCACATGATCTTGTTGGTGGATCTTGTGGGGCTGTTTTTGGAGATTGTGGTTAGTTTTTGATTTAGATGAGGTCACCCACACTTCCCTACAATTGTCTTGGTTAAATCATAGTTCAAACTTGATTGTAAGATGCCTCCCACAATAAGATGGAAACAACAAATTTTTCTCAGAATTGTACTTCATGTAGTACCCTACTGTCATTTACTGGAGGCTCATAGAGTGAATCTAAAGGTAATTGACTTGAGAAGGTTTTTGAATTATTTTTTTTGGAATTGCTTTGTCTGGATCGAGCTGCATTACTAATACTTAGAAAAAACTAATTTGAATAAATTCAATTGTATTTTTTTATTTCTTTTATTTTTTTCATTAAAAAACAAGTTGATATAGTTGGGTAAAAATCATGTTATTACAGAAGTAGGCAGTTGCAAGTTCTGTTGCCTTCACAAAACCATTAATTGTTTACAATGATTTAGTTAAAGAAAACACAACGTGCAACTCCATCAATACTTATTGTTTATAATGCACATTAATTTTGGTCCATGTTTTACAAAAAAAACTAAACATCTATTTAATGATTTTTAAGTAATGATTTAGAGTTGAACTTTTCAAACACGAAAAAAGATCACCAACAAAATGGATATGACACACAGCTATACAACAATTCTTTATAGAATTCCAAAATCACACTAACAAACTGTTGGGCACCTTTACTTGAATATGTATTATAAATAGCCAATGAATTTTCTATTCTGTAAAAATCGTAGTTCAGAACTAACCCTGAAAAAAAAATCAAGTGGGAAGTATACTAGATACTTTAAATTCCCATATTTTTATTGTGAAAAAAAAAAAAAAAAAAAAAAAACTTGTTTTAGGGTCCATCTATCTGACTTTGTTAAGCAGAAAATATAAAAGTATCATTGAAAAAGCCAAAAGGAAGAAGAGTCGCCCTCGAGGATTGATTCCCGGTGAACAGTGCCAGGACCCTTCTAGAGCCTGACCGCTCGACACTTGGTACGGCTGTTGCCAATCACAGACTGCCACGACTCGAGCACCACCTGTCAGATTTCTCTCGCCACGTGTGAAGTGATATCAGCCTACGTGGCAGTAGATCGCTTTCATTCAACCCTCGTACACAGGCCCTCGCTAAAGCACGCAACCCCCAGTTATAGACCCCGGTCTCCGATCGGGCAGCCATTGAAAATCGTTCGATTCAGCCTCGGGTTCGAACCCCCACGGTTACACACCTCGTTCCCATTACTGCCCCACTAACAAGCTGGCAACCGTTGCTGCAGTCACGGAGTTCGAATCGGACGGTGTGAGCTGTCATCGATTAAGATGCGATCCAACGGTGGAGAACTCTCGATGAACTACGACGGGGCCAGCCTTTCAAATTTAGTTTGGCGTTCCGTAGCACAGTTTGAAGTTTCCTTCCGGTGCGAGCCTCGATGAGGTCACGAAGTTGATGGACACCAATTTCGCCGGAGTCTGCACCCAATCCGAATTCTCGAGCATACGTAGAAATCATCAGCGCTCTAGTTGTGTGGATGTCGAAATTCCATTGTAGGGTTTGAAAATTTTCTTCCGCACACATTTAGTGAGGTGTAAGACAAGGTTTTGTTGCCGAAGAAGGGTTACAGGGTTTCGAGTTTTTGGAATAGGCAACGGCGAGGTGTGGAGTGTGGCTAGTGAGGTTGAAGGCGCTGCTGAGAGACACTGAGAAACTGTGATAATTTTCTAAGTGTTTGAAGGCTATGGCGGCGTCGGGTGGAGAGTTTGATCACCTGTTCAAGATTTTGTTGATCGGGGATTCAGGGGTGGGGAAGAGTAGTTTGTTGGTGCGGTTCACGGCTGACACGTTTGATGACTTGTCGCCGACTATTGGAGTGGATTTTAAGGTGAAGATGATGACGCTCGGGGGTAAGAAGTTGAAGCTGACGATCTGGGACACGGCGGGGCAAGAGAGGTTCAGGACCCTGACGAGTTCGTATTACAGGGGCGCGCAGGGGATCATTCTTGTGTATGATGTCTCCCGACGGGCAACTTTCACGAATTTGTCCGACATCTGGCTGAAGGAGGTGGATCGTTACTCCACGAACCCGGATTGTATCAAGATGCTCATAGGGAACAAGGTGGATTTGGAGGAACACGAGCGGGTGGTGACGAAGAAGGAGGGAATTGCGTTTGCTAGGCAGCACGGGTGCTTATTTCTGGAGGCCAGTGCCAAGACGAGCGTCAATGTGCAACGATGCTTTGATGAACTCGTGCAGAAGATTTTGGATACTCCAAGCTTGACAGCGGATACGGCGCAATTGAAGAAGAATGTGCTCAGACCTGGGGAAACAGCGGATTTGCCAGCACCCGACGCTGGCGGTGCGTGCGGTTGTTGATAGATTATTGTCACAAAACGTTGGAGTTCGCTAAATTTGGTATTGATTTTATCCCTTGTACATGTGTAGTTCCTTTTATGGCAAGCATTGGACAATTGCCTGTAAATCATTTTTGGTGTATCGAATGCATATGTCTTTGGACAAATAAACGAGGTTACCTGATTTCACACACACGCGAGTATCATGAGTTTGGCATGTTACACCCTAAAGGATGTCACATAGATTGTGATGGGGTTTTATTGTTTCAGATTGATTTGTCTTGTTCGCACTTTTAGATTACTGACGGTTTTTTAAAAATCAGCTAAGAATTAAGCGGAAGTCTAGTACTATATTCTTGTGATTTGGAGTTATAAAAGTTGTACGAGAGTGTCTCACACTTGTATTTTTATATGTTTTTGGTAAGTCCTGTTGCGATTGTAATTACAGACAGTTGCACTTGTGAGTTAATTGAGCCTTGCTACTATAATCTCTGTGTCTTCTTTCTCTTGAACTCCGCAATTTTCCTGTAGAGACGGCAAATCTTGAGGGTAATGTTGAGTTCTCGATGATATGGCGTTGAGGCATGAAACCTTATTATAGTGAATTCTGCATCTAACCGTGGGAAAAGGCTCTTAATCTATGGCAAGTAAACAGTGACTCATCGCTGTATGGTTGGACGGACGTGTTGCGTGCACTATGGCATAATGTCCTGTTTGTGGTGTAATCAGTTGGTCAGTTGTAGACACTGTTGTTGGTAAAAAGTCATGCAGATTATTGGACAGAATTGATGTAGTTGTAGATTAGATGGATTCGCTAGCTCAAAAACTAAGATCGGAGGCTGGTCTACCGAAGGAAGCTGTAGACCAGTTCTCACTCAAATCTCCATGAATTGAGCTTCTGTTAGCTTTTTGCTCAATTTTCTCTACTTAGAAGTTTCCTTGATCCTTATTCCATTATTATTTGCACTTGCCAATATACTCACATAACCTCTTATCAAGCGTATCGACACCTTTTTGTATTCGCTGATTTAAGGCCTCTAAGAAATAATCTTGCAGTCTTCAGATCTTTGCACCTTATCATGTATCTTTCTGGTATGTAATTTATCTTGAGTTTAGCTATCATCGTCTCGAAGCTTCTCCATCATTACTTTTGAAAAAGAGCGAAGAGAGGATGGAACTGTCTAATGCCAACCGTTTCAATATTTAATATGTATACTTGACAACCTTTCTGGAGGATGAATAAGATGCTAAATTCAAGTATGAGACCCCTGAAAAATGTCTGCCACTTCATTTTCGAGGCTGTGTTGATCAAGGCCCCTTCAACGTTACTTGTTGCTCTTACTAGACGTGACCAAAGGTTTGATATTTAGCTAGTAGAAACGATATTTTACCCTATGTCAATGTCTTGGTGAGACTCCATTAATTAGAGGTGGATCATTAGGTGTCTCGTCACTTGACCATTCCTCATTTACTCCACAGTCTGCAGCATACAAAGACCTAGAATACTCTATTTTTACGAGAGGTTGCAGATCATCCTCAGCGATGGGTTCACTCCTGAGTAGCATTGGGACAATTCTCGGAGTTATGAGTCGCAGCTCCGGCTTGTCCAATGTGCACAGAAGGGCCGTCCAGTTGAATGCTGTTTTTCTAAATCGTGAATGATCCAACTGATTAGTGAAAAATGCCTCATGTTTGAGATTCAAGTGGAAGCGGCTCACCTTTATGAGGAAAAGCAGTGATCCTGAAGGGGTGCGTTTCATGTTCACCTCACCTGTCACAATTTCCATCAAAACTATGCCGTAGCCATACACGTCCACCTTCTCCGTTAGCAGACCTGGTGTACATGTTCGGGTGCAACATACCCTCTGCAGTACAACCGCCCAATTTCATTTGCGTTTTCAAAAACCGTATAAGATACAGATAGTCTTGTGCTCTTCACTTGGATCCATACAATTTCTTCAGCAGTTGAACGAAGTCGGAGTTAACAACGCTGATAGAAATCCACTGTCAATGTGCCAGCAACTTTGGTGGTGTAATGAGATTGTTCCTCTGAAAACAGCTTGGCCAAGCCAAAGTCAGCAATCTTAGCTTCCAGATTGCGATCTAGAAGGATGTTGGTTTTCATGCCCCTGTGTATGATCCGGGGCGTGATTTCGTAGTGCAAGTAGACCAGCCCTCGGGCAGTTCCCAGGGCTATGCTGAAACGGGCGAACCAGTTTACTAAAATAGCTTCTTTCGGATCACATGTCTCAGCAACACAGGAATTGGGTTATTTCACAGATGCGGTGAGGGGTGAAGGCTGGAGTCTCCCATCACCAGGAGAAAAATCGATTATCGAACTGCGAGCTGGATAATGATTTACCAAGCAATGCCTGTCGAAGACTCCTGTTCTCCATATACTCATAGACCTGCAGTCTGTGACGCCCCTCCACACAACATCCCCGCAGCTTGACAAGGTTTCGACGCTTAACTCCGCTGATGACTACCACCTCATTTAAGAATTCACGAGCTCCTTGCTTCGAGTTTTCCTACAGCTTCTTCACAGCTACCAGTGTACCGTCTTTCAACCTCCCCTGATCATGTGCAGTTCCTTTTTAAACTCGAGGATAATACGCACAAAAAAATCTCAGTGAAAACTTTTTTTTTGTATATAGTTGATTTCTGGTAAACTTTTGGTTCACCGATTCCAAACAACAGAATGAGAAGGGAATCATCCAAGGTTATTCGATTACTTAGTAATTGAAGCAGCTTCTTTGAATTGCACATTAGATGCAGTATCTGGTACACTTCTCCGAAACCACATTCACCCAGCTTCTTGTCCTTGTGAAACTTTTGTGTACAAGCTTTCAGATCCTTATAGCTATATTTGTATGTTGCAATGGGTTGCCTGGCAAAATCTGTCAAAAACTGCCCAATTCTGTGAGCTAGCTAGCTCCCCCTTCCATAACTTGATGCACATCGGATTACCCTCTCGTTGCCGAGTCAGCCATTTACGAAATGACACCATCAATGCAGTTGTCGAACCGTGAAATCCACTAAGAGAGAAACCCATGTTATCGTCTGCCCACCTGCTGTGGTTTCGCTTACAGATGACTTCAACGCTTTTCTCCCCAAAAGATAGCAAGCGAAAATGACGAACATGAGAAGGGGTCCAGGAAGGATTGCAGCTAAACAGCTAAAAACTTTCCCCTCATTTCCCTTTTGGGAGAGCCTTCAAAAGCACAATTATTACAGCACAAATTCTTCAAGTAAGCCTTGATTGGTGGTTCGTTCAGGTACACGGATTGCGGGCAGAGAGGTTGGTCATGAGGTTCCACAGCCTTAGTGCATCTGGTAAGATTGACCTGTGATTGCCCACAAGTGACTGCTTTAGTAGGAACGCTCCAGTTGGTCTACCACCAAAACACCTTCAGCGTAAGAGAGAAAGAGAAATAGACGATCACTGTAACAACACGAGATAAAATCGCCATTTTAAGATCGACACTCGGGATCAATTGAGATGGTTGCAATACAGATCCCAACCTGGGACTCTTGACAGGCCAGTCGATTCGGCCCGACGTTGGCGTCAAATAATCTCCGCTTGATGGAATTGAAGATGTCATCCGATTTCACAATCACATCTATGCCAGCTACTCCATACAGAATTCCTTCACTGATAACTGCACAGGACAGACAGACACACAGACACACAGATAGGCAGGTCCAGTGTCTGTTGCTTTAGAAGACCCAAGGTCTCGATGAAACCAAGCAGAGGATTCGTAAACAGGGATTTTGGAAACTTACCTGGGTACGTGACGGTGGCAACAAGGCCCAGTCCATCGAAGTCGTCGTATGTTTCTGTCCAGAAACTACTGTTGGCTGCAGTTCTCAACGTGGCTTGATAATCGAAGTAAGGGCGTATGGCCCAATGCGGATTCCGTTGTGCATCTACAAGGGTGACATACGTGACCGTGCTGTTCATCATACAAGATAAACTCCGGAGCTCGAGAAGTGGATCTGGAGTCATGTTTACCCCTAAGCTGAAGAAGAACACCGTTACGTTTTCCGAGTTTAGGGATGCGGCCATGTGTAGAAGTGTCGAATCGTTGTTGAATCCAGGATTTTTCGCAAAGTTTCCATCTGTCAGCACCACGAACATCTGTCCAAGCCAGATCGAAGACACACTGCACAAATGAGCAGTACATGGAACCATATCTGTGTCACTGGCTAGTGCTGAATTCAGGAAAATGCACCCACCAGTAATGCTGCCTTGATTTCAAAAACACCTATACCTTCAGTAAACTAGTTGAGTTGAGGGCTCCTCTCGCTGTCTCGAATGCTTTCGTGATGTTTGAAAACTTTTGTGGAGAGTTCGACAGTGATAGCACTTGAAAGGTACTGTATAACAGGTAGGAAGGTTGATCTTTTTGTACAATAACCTGCTTATTTCATGGAATACGAAGGGCAGTGTCGATTACATCTATACGACTAATATTTAGCTCACAACAGCGGTAAGTGCCACAACTGATGCACGGCATAAGCAAGATAACGAGGAAGCCAAAGGTGTTGGAATTACAGAAGTTGGTTGCAGTAAAATTGCTCGAGTAGAGTTGAATGTAACTAAGTTGATGCAGTCATCAGGCCTGAAAGTGCCAAATAGTGCTTGGATGACAATCTTGGTGTTGACGAAAGTAGAACTATCTACTTGGCCTTCATCTAGAAGCACAACTAGATCCTTGATAACAGATACCGCTGTTATGTACCTACAAAAGATAGTCCTTTCATGTGGTGTGAATAAAAAAAGAACTAGTCAAATGAGACACACAAAGCCCCTGGTAAAAATCCCTCCTAATGTCTAATTACTCTCAAGATTCCTGTTTATCTGAAGGAGGAGGCCAAAGATTCCGGGCAAGGAAAATCATGCAACTACCATGTTTTCAGAAATGTGAACAATCTATCTTTGAGGAGCAAGCTCAATTTCAGAAGTGTACACAGTCTCTTAGTTATAATGAATATATGATGAAAAACTGCAGGAATTTGAAGGTAGCCACATTACATTACCAGGGCCGCTTGCGAGGATCGTACTGGATGCAATCCTTGCTGGGATCCGCTTCCTGTTTTCAAGCATTGAACAAGATAGAATAAAAAAGAAGAAGAAGAAAAAAAAAAGACTTTAGTGGTCGATCGTGTAGAAGCTGCATTATCCCCCCCCCC